AGGATGCCTATTCAATTCATTTGCTCATTTTTTAATTGAGTTATTAGGGTTTTTTGCTATTAAGTTGTAGGAATTCCTTATATAGTTTGGATGTTAATCTTTCATTACATCTGTGGTTTGCAAATTTATTCTCCCTTTCCATAGGTTGCCTGATCAACTGTTGATTGTTTCCTTTACTGTGAAGTTTTTAGTTTGATGTAGTCTCACTTGCTTATGTTTGCCTTTGTTGTTGGTGCTTTTGGTGTCATATCCAATAATCACTGCCACAATCAATGTCACAAAGTTTTCAGAAATGTTGAATCTTAATGTATCATTCTCCACTAACTAGAACAACTTCAAACTAATGTAAAAAAAATACTTTTAGTAAGCAATTAAGAAGTAATATATATTTCTAAATGAATGTGTTTTATTGTCTCTCCTAAGCAAATTGTGAAATCCAGAAATGGAAATGGAAACAGAAACAAAGGCAAAAAACAGAGAAGTTCTATCTTGTTGCTGCCAACAGGCTGGAAATCCCCTATTTTAAGCTTAAGAAAGCAGCTGGAAGCATTTAGATATTCCAAGACACTTCAACATTCCTTGTAAACTATCGTTTGAAAAGGATTTTTAATCATGTGTTTTAAAAAGAAATAAAGAGTGGGTTTATCAGCAAAGTGATTTTTTGAAAAATTGCTTTTTTATTTGTAATTAAAGCAGAGATTATAGATATTTGGCTCTAGACAAGACATTTTTCTCCTAAATCTTCAAGAAAATATCTCTGATTTACGTCTGCTGCTTTCCTCATCCCTGCCCTCATTTTCAAAGCGGTATCAGGCAGGGTGGTGGAAGGGCATTAATCTCACAAATATTGAACCCGTAATTAAGCAAAAAATGTTTATGGCATTTCCTCTTAACATTTTATGTATGTTTTTGTCTGCTATTTTACAGTTTGGACTTTCAAAAATATTGTTTTCCCAAGAGACTCATAAGTTTCTTTCTTAAAATGCTTCCATCCTTTTTGTGTAATTCCTCTCAAATTTTCCCAGGACATTCTTTTGCTCCCTGAAAGCACAGAAGTTAATTTTAGAGAAGTTATTTAGCTTTCAATGATGCGAGCTGTCCTGGTCACTCAGCACTGCCATGTTCATTGCAGCATTATTAACAATAGCCAAGATATGAAAACAGCCTACATGTCCATCAATAGATGGATGCATATAAAATTGTACACACACACACACACACACACACACACACACACACACACACACACTGGAATATTACTCAGCCATAAAAAATAAGAAAATTCTGCCATTTGCAACAACATAAATTATACTAAGTGAAATAAGCTAGACATCGAAAGAAAACTACTGCATAATGTCACTTATACGTGCAATTTTTAAAAGTCAAACTCACAGAAACAGAGAGTAGAAAGCTGATGGGAGGGCAGTGGCAATCAGATGTTAGTCAAAAGCTACAAAATTGCAATTACAGGATGAATAGGTTCTGGGGCTCTAACTTATAGCATGGACACAACGGTCAATAATATTATATTGTATAGTTGAAATTTTCTAAGAGAATAGTTTTTTTTTTATATAGTATATGTTTCATTAGTTTGTACAAATACATTCTCATATCACAAACGCAATTTAGTGGATGAATCTTCCTTTGACATTTGAATCATCTGAAATAACACTAACAGAATTATACATTCAAAAGAATCCTCATTTAGGTAACAAAAAACGACAAGCTAAACAACAAAAAAACTTTTCCTTTCTCACAGGTGGACACTGAAGTGAACCCAATTTGGTTTTCATTTTAAAAGCCCCCAAAACCAAAAGCAGCTTAAAAACTAATTAAAATGAATTTAAAATTTATATATTGGTCTCTGGATCATTTTCTGTTTTCTGTTGTTTTGATGCAGGTTTTTTTTTTTTTTCTGTTTCTTCTCTTGCTCTTTTGGTAATTTAAATGAATTTAAATTTTGTTTACGAAGCTATTGGTCTCGGGCATCGTTTTCTGTTTTCTGTTGTTTTCAGGTTCTTTTTTGTCTGTTCCTTCCTCTTGCTCTTCTCACTCATCCAGTGGCACCATTTTCATCATGTTCATCATCACTAACAAATTTCATTTTCTTGCCCTGAAACTGTACTTCTCCTTTAGACAAACTCAGGTTAGGCAGCTTTATTACCCTTTCCTTTTAAATCTAACACCTTTTGACTTCCATTTGTTCAGGGATTCTTGTCAATCTTTTATAATTTTTTCAATGCTTCTTTTTCCACCTGTCCTTTTAGTACTTCCCAAGTCACTTCTTTGTTCCTTAATTCTAGATTACCATTATTTGCATCTGTGGCTTTACCCAATGCTTCTTTGACTTTTTCTGTAAATTGAATTATTCCCTCTTTTGCACCTCTGACAAAGTATATCTATTTTAGTTTATTATAATTTGAGAAAAGGATGTGTGAACCCTCTCTACAGGTCTGATCATCTAAGTCACCCAAAAATTTCAGCAAGCATCCAATCTTTTTTTGTAGAGATTTTATTTCGGCATCTTCTAGCTTCTCTTTTTCTTCCTGCTCTTGTTTGGCTTGTAATTTATTCTCCACATTATTTTGTTTCCTTTCTTCACTTTTTTCAGCAAAGTAATATTCCTTGAAATGTATTAACAAGCTGTGTCTTTGTATTGCTGGCCAGGGTTCTCTACAAACTTTTTAGCAGATTCAATGCTATCAAACACAGCAAACATCGATCATTTAAATGATTTCTGCAATGTTCTTCTCATCTGAATATTTAGTACTTGACCTCTATCTTCTAACCATTCTTTTATGTCCTCAACGGTTGCTTCAGTTGGGAAACTTTTGATATGAATAGATTTTTTAATATCATTTTTATACTCATCGGTCACTTCAAGGAGGGGTTTGCTTGGAGACATTCTGATTTTAGTTTTATCTTCACTGATTTCCATGAGCTCTGCCTTGGATTTGCTCAATGCTTCCACAATTACATTGAAGTCTGTTGTAAGATGGTTTAATTTGTTGAATTTTATCAATATCTCCAAAGGTACCCAGACTTCATTCAGTTTATCCGTTCTTTTAAAAATTTGTCCCATGGCAAATTGAAGTCTCCAGTTAATACTCAATTTGATGACAGATTCTGGCCTCCAGACCAGCATTTTCAGGCACTGTGGCTATCTTTAAGATCCCAGTCGTGCAGAGTTAAGTCACAAACTCACAAACAAAACAGCAACATCTTGACTTCCCTTGAGTAGCTCTTAAGTGTTCCTACCACACACAGAAAAAAAATGGTAACTATGTGAGGTGACAGTACCTCAGTTAACTTGATTGTAGTCATCGTTTTGCAATGCACACATGTCAAATAATCACATTAAACACTTTCGATATACACAATTTTTGTTGATGAATTATACCTCAATGAAACTGGAAAAATACTCTAATAAAGTACAATAGAATTTGCATTTCTGATTTTATGAACCTGTCTTTTGCCCTAGGAAGGCCGGGTCAGGATAGGGGAGAGGAGGAAAGAATGATCTCTTTTTCTTACTCATCTATATTAACGCTTTATGTTAAAAATGTCTTCCTAATACTTATTTTTGTTTTACTTACGATCCCTTAAAATGGAAAGATTTGGAGGTAATCAAATAATTTACAATTTTTCTTTATAATATCTACATAAAAGGCAAAGGAAGGAGGAAATATGAAAATAAATGAGATTCAAGTTTAATAGAATTTGGCAAAAATAGCGCCTTTTAAAATTATTTTTGCCCTAGCATATGTGTGTATTTGCTTACGTTTGTAGCTGATACCAGTTCTTGAAGTAAAGAAATTTCAGGTCTTGCCTATGATAGCTATCCTTGTAAGACCACTCTAAGTCTAGCATGATTTCCCAATTATGCAGATGTAAGATCTACACAGTCATCTCATTTTGGGAGGATCAGGCTTAAAGACACGTGACTCATGCCACTCAAATGCCACTAAGACCGCCAATCAAATATTCATTTAAAATGAGAAGCAAGTTCATAAAACCATCAGTTAGTCAGCTGAACAAAGCATTCCCTCCCTCACATGAGAGAGTCATGAATGAGTGTAAGAAGTTACTTACATAATATAGAACTAGAGACAAAGGGGTTGGGAATGGCAATATCCTAATACCTGTCTTTGAATGTACTGAGTGAGACACAGTCTTTACTTAATAGGGCCTAAATGTATTATTATGATTTAATTCCTATGACTGTGAGTAAACCAACAATCATCACTTTTGTGACTTGTAGCATTGTTTATATCAGGAAAAATTCGGAATATTTGATAAGCTTCTTTTTGCCTTTTTTGAAGGCATCCAAGTCAAATGTAGGATTCCTATTCTTCTTGAGCTAAATAAAATGACTTGTTAGTCTTGTTACTTGGGGGGTTTCCCACACATTGAGTGCCATGTTAAGCAAAATTTATTCCTACAGGACAGTTTAATGGGGTTGATGGATAGGAAACACAGGTGTGCAAAAATTGCAAAACTAATTGAAGATAATGAATGTTCTATTGCTCTGCCCTGGAGCCACAGAACACCAGGTAACATGTCTTAGCTTTTTCTTTATTCCTTTTTTCAACATCTTCTTTGCCAATTGAGAAATCTCTTTATTTTTGGTACATTTATAGTTTGGCATTTTTAAATTTTCTCTCATTTATTTCCAAATCATCTCCAAATGTGTCAGTTTTAGTCTAACCTGTTAAAAATACTGACTTACAATTGTAGCTTTATAAGTAGTCGTCACTGGCTTCCAATATAGTTAAGGTTTGTAGATATAAATGCCAGTTCTAAGTAGAAATATTTCTATACCTCCAGCCAATAGGCCAACATGTCCATTATCAGATCTGATCATAACTGGGTGATCAATGGCGATTAAATGTTTCAGATTTTATTATATGATTCTAATTAATAGAGTGCCAATTATGCTAGCATTATTCTTTGCAATTCTAGAAAGAGACAAAATACGTGTTCTCAAGATGGCTAGGGGTTTTTGTTGTTGTTTTGAGATGGAGTCTCAATGCATTGCCCAGGCTGGAGAGTAGTGGCACAATCTGGGTTCACTTCAATTTCCACCTCTTAAGTTCAAGTGATTCTCCTGCCTCAACCTTCTGAATAGCTGGGTGCACACTACCATGCCCAACTAATTTCTGATAGAGATGGAGTTTCACCATGTTGGTCCTGCTGGTTTCAAACTCCTGACCCCAAGTGATCCACCCACCTTAGCCTCCCAAAGTGCTGGGATAATAGGCTTGAGCCACTGCACCCTGCCAAAACGGTTGTTTTTTTTTTGAAAAATTCTTTGAAAAGATGACATCCACGTGTGAAAAACTAAACATTAGGAAAGTTAAATAGCCCATAAAAAACAGTGATATAGATGTTTCCAGGAATTATACATTAATATAATACATATAATAAATGCTGGGTTCAAATGAGTTTAGGAAAAGATCAATAAGCAAACGTAGTCAGAGAATGTTCCATTGCTGGTCAGACTTGAAGAATGGATAGAGTTTGGAAAGAATAGAAGATAAGGGTGAAAGCGTGGTTGGGTGAAGATACTAAATTGTGTGAACAGAAATGTTCTGTTATTAGGTTGGTGTAAAAGTAATTGTGGTTTTTGCCATTATAGAATAGTGACTTTGTCAGTCTAAGTAAACATGGAGGTCAAGTTAGAATGCTCTATCTAATATCTAATGGCATGATTGAACACATCTTTTGTGTTCCTGGGAACTATTTCAGTAACATTATAACTGTTTTAATAACATCATAGCAAAGCATATTTTATTGTTCAGAGTTTTGCTTTACAGACTTAACTGAGATTTCTCAGAAGTATGCTGTATGCTTGTTTTCCATTTTTACTAGCACTGGTATATAACCTGATATATCAAAATCATTTACCAAATCTTAGATGAATGAAATGAGGCAAAAATAAATTCTGAGAGATTTTCCTTTAATTCCTGGAGCTTACATTTTCAGTGAGAAAGGCATGAGATACCTGAATATTCTCTGGTTTAAAGCAACATTCTATTTAGCTTTCCTCTAAAGAGATTAATTGAAAAACACACTTGGAAATACTATGTTACTGCTGAAAGAAATCATAGATGACATAAACAAATGCAAAAACATTCCTCATTCATGGATTGGAAGAAGCAATATTGCTAAAATGTCCATCTGCCCAAAGCAATCTACAGATTCAATGCTATTCCTATCAAATTGCCAACATCATTTTTCACAGAATTAGAAATTACTCCAAAAGTCTCACTGTTGTTGAGAATGTAAAATTATTTCAGTCCTTGTTGAAACCAGCTGGGAGATTTCTCAGAAAAAAAAATAGTAATAATAATAGAACTACCATTTGACCCAGCAATTCTATTACTGCACATAAACCCAAAGGAAAATAAAATGTTCTACAAAAAATGACACCTATACTCATATGTTCATTGGACCACTATTCACAATAGGAAAGGCATGAAATCAACCTAGGAACCCATCAGTTGTGGATTGGATAAAGAAAATGTGGTACATATACCCCCTGGAATACTACACAGCCATAAAAAGGATGAAATCATATCCTTTGCAGCAACATGGATGCAGCTAGAGGCCATTATCCTAGGTTAATTCACATAGAAACAGAAAATGAAATATAGTATGTTCTCCCTTATAGTGGGAGCTAATTCCCGAGTACACACAAAGATGGGACTACAGACACTGGAGACGAGAGGGACAAGGACTGAAAAACTCTTGGTTACTATGTTCACTATCTGGGTGACAGGATCAATAGAAGCCCAAACATCAGCATCTGGCAGTATACTATATTTTGTAACAAATCTGCATATATACCCCTGAATCTAAAATTAACATTTTTTTAAAAAAAAGAGATTCAGGCCAGGTATGGTGGCTCACACCTGTAATCCCAGCACTTGAGGAGGCTGAGGCAGGAGGATCACTTGAGCCCAGGAGTTCAAGACCAGCCTGGGCAACAAAGTGAGATCTTTGTCTCAAAAGAGAGAGAGAGAAACTCAAATCACAGAAACTAAACAGACAATACTATCTTAAAGTTAAATGGGATTATTTGTATGTATTAATTTATTTATTGAACAAATACTTATTGGATACTTAGTACACACAGGATACTATTGTTTTAGGGGAAGATTATATAGTGGTTAACAAAATAAAAACTTCGGTCCTCATGGAACTGACATTCTAGTAGAGGGAAACTAATTTGTTAAAAAACATAAAAGTTATATGTACTATAGTTTGTTAAAATGGACCAAATTGTTTGCCTCTTTCTGTATCCCCGCTTTGGCTGTGGCATATCACCGTGACCGAATTCCGACTCTGCACTTGGCCATGCCACCTGCTTTTGCCAATGGGGCACCTTGCTAGCTTGCTGATGGTTGAGAGACACATGCCACAGAGCCAAGACTCCCACCTCACTGGGCCCCGCCTAGATTAGCAAGCAGCCAGGGAAGCCACAGACCTGGAAACGAGCCTGGCCCACATCAGTTGAGCTGCTTGGAGACCCACAGTTGGCCACAGACAGGGGACAGATCAGACAAGCCCTGCACACTTGGAGCTAAATAAATGTTTACTGTTGCACACCATGAGATTTGAGGTTCTGCGTGAATGCAGCATTTTGGTAGCAATGGTGATCATTGTGCCTGAGGAAAATAAAACTGCAAAGGTTAACAGGGAGAGCAGGGGGTTGTTTGCAAGTTTATGTAAGGTAAACAGGGAAGGTCTCCCTGAGAAGTGACACTGGAGAAAAGACTTCAGGAGGTAGGAGAGGGACCTATGTCTGTATCCAGGAGGGAAGGGAGAGTGTTTCAAGCTGAGAAAACAACGTGTCCGAAGAGAGATCCTCCTGTGTCTGACAATCCCAAGAAAGCCAGTGTGACTGGAGCAGTGACGAAGAAATGAAGGAGATAAGGTCAGTAAAGCCAGGGAACAGAACAGACCCAAATTCTGTGGCACTCCAGGAATTCTCAAAGCTGTATTATGCTTATATACCTTGTGGATTTCTAAAATGGACATTTGGAGTTCTGCAACTTCTCGCATGTAATTGATAATCCAACCCTTTTTCACACAAAGCATCTCAAAGCACTAGAGCCTGCAAAACCCTTCTGTGGGAGGGCTAATTTATTGACCTGCAGTAAAATGGGTTGTTTTAATCTTAAGGTTCCAGGCTAGGCCCAGATAGAATGGTCTGAGATTGGTTGAAGGTAGCACCGTGAGTACTTTCCAAAGGATCTGGGCGCTCAGGTGGAGCCAAGTCGGCTCCAAATCACGCCTCTCCGGCTACATGACTTGACATGCAGCAGATATATTGGATTTTATCATTAGAAAAGTTTCATATGTGGCATATTACATCAGCACATGAATGTTCCAAATAAAATAAAATTCTACCAGGGGAAAAAATTAGATAGTGCATTAAAATACACGGAAGTTATAAATCACTAAGACGTCCAGGCTTTCCATTTTTAAAAAAGGCAGGACAGATTCTCCAGATGGTCTCAATCCACATCATTTGGGTGGAAACCAAATGCTTCAACCTGTCTCGGCAAAGAATATCTCATTTCTAAATAAAAGTAAGAAATGGAATGTCTATGGTGATTTTGAAGATGGATTAATGTTCAAGGGACTTATATTAAAAGGCACATGGCTATCGATTTGCTACAGGAACTATCATTTCAACTCAAGGCCCTGATGCTGGAGAGGTTCTGCTGCCTGTGTTGAATTTAAGACAAATGAATACATGACACAAGCATTTTCATTTATACTCTATTATTTAATTCTAAACCCCCCTTTGCCTAAGTCCTTCATTATGCCTTTTCACCCCCACTCCTTCCAATTATAGCTACTTCTTTTAAAGTATTAAAGGATTTTAAATGGGAGAATGTATAGCATCTCCACCAAGTAGAATCCACGATGTGTACTTTGAGTTGTTAAAGTTCTTGGCCATCAGAGATACTACTGAGTATATTGTCTTCCTTATTTTCCATCTGTCTTATTTATGTATTATTATAAAATAACATGTGTAGAAACATCTTGAAATAATGTAAATTAAGCTTTTTGCAAGGGAACATGTCCCTTAAACAGCACAGTACATAATTTTTTTTAAGTTTCCATGTAAGTATGAAATATCTTTCTGCAAACTGAGAAGAGGCAAATTTTCCTTTGCTCCCCTGAAATGTCTGTATTTCCTCCCTCCACGACTGATCAGATTCTTTTAATTCCTTTACAAAACTGTAGGCCCAAGAGAGACTGTTCCCTCAGTTTCTGATCCACATATCTTTCAGGAGGGACTTAGGAAATATCTGTAAAATCCAGGAAACGGTGTGTATGAGAGAGCTGGAAGCAAGTCTCTGAGATTTTCCTACTATGCTGCCTGCTATCTACCTCCTTCCAGCAATGTCTGGGTTATGCCTCCTTTTGGGATGGAGACTCCACATGTAAGCATCACACTGCATCCTTAAGGGTAGAAGAGGGGGAATATCTACTGCTTACCTACCTTAGGATAAGCCCTCTCTACTAGATTCTCAAAAATATCAAAGTATGGCACCATTCCTGGCCACAAGACAGATGCATTATAGTTGGGTAAATAAGGTAGCATTTCTATTTTTTTAAATTATTAACTATTCGAAATAAATTGCACTGTTCAGATACTAATATTATATTAATAGAAGTTCAGTAGAATAAGAGCTATTTCTGTGGGATGAGTCAGGCCATCCAGGTAAACTTCAGAGAGGTGGAGACTGATTTCCCCCTTGTAACATAAGGCCTGCTGCAAGCAAAGCTTTTGGTGGGCACATCTATTACTTAAATAAGTCTTAATAAATAAGTAAATAAAAATAAAATATATTAAGTGAATTAGGCACTATCATAGGTGGAGAAATACTAAAGAAAAAAGAAGAAATAAAATGCCAGGTCCTTTAAATGTTACATTCTGGAGTAAAAAATGTACAAGTATGTAATGGGAAAAATCATCACATCAAATTGTGATAAGTGTTAGAGGAAAATAAAGCAGGATGATGGCACAGGGAGGGAGGGCCCTTCAACCAAGAGGGTGAGGGAAGACCTTTCTAATGAGCTGGCATCAGAA